ATCTACACAAAAAAAAAAATATACGACACACATGAAGGTGTTGGCTACACATCCTATCTTTATGTTGTTTAAAGTTAACACTTAAAGCTGTTTAGTTTTTTATATAAATGTAAAAGCCCTGACAGAAAGGGACCGCAAGGAAGAATTCTGAACAGTTACAATACCATCTAACAATCCATTCTCTTCTTTCTGTATTACTATGTAACTATTGTAAAACACGAATTTTGGCTTCTGCGTAAGCCCAAGTACTGTTCTCAAGGCTGAATTTTCTGTCATTGAAAATAAAGAATTTAAAAAAAAAAAAAAATTGCTATTAGTAAGACACACACAATTTATCAAAATAGCCCTGCCCATGGCCACACCCATACTCACACAGCACAAATTAAATGGACACTATAGTCAACAGAACAATTAAAGCTTAAGAAAATTGTTCTGGAGTGTATATTATGCCCCCTGCAGACGTTTTACTGTAAACACTGGCTTTTCAGGGAAAATGCAGTGTTTTCACTGTTGCCTAGGGACACCTCCAGTGGCCACCTCCAGAGGTGCTTCCTGGGCTCAGCATGGAGACACTGAACTTTCCCCATAGAGATGCGTTGATTCAATTAATCTCTATGAGGAGAAACTGATTAGTCAGCAAGGTCTTTGGCTCTGCCTCCGCCTAGGCTCCATGGCTTAGATCATCAGGATTGACAATCTGAGCTAATCCACTGCTTTCCTATGCATTGTGATTGGCTGAGATAATCAAATCTAATATTGCCAGCAAGGTGGCGGATCATGGGGGCTGAGCCAAGACTGGCAGACCCGTTCGGCCATAGAAATAAGGTAAGATTTCTTGTTTTTTAAGGGGAGCAAGTTGTGGTCAAGGGGGCTAACATGTTTTTTAAACGCTATTAGGTGAGGAATATATGTTTGAGTTCCTGACCCTATAGTGTTCCTTTAAAGCAAGCATGTGAAACTCAAAGGCTAGCACAGGCCAAATAAACAAGATTTAATTTAATGTGGGCCGCAAAAACCCACAAAAACATACATTTTCACAGAAACCTAGGTTTATTTTGAAAAGTACAGCATAAAAAAAAAACAGCGACCCCTCTACTAAACCCCAGCCCCCTCCTCTATTAAACCCCAGCCCCCCTCTATTAAACCCCCGACCACCTCTACTAAACCCCAGCCCCCCTCTACTAAATTTCAGTCACCCTCTATACTAAATCTCCCACAATCTATACTTAATCCCAGTCCCCCACCCCTCTACTAAATCCCAGCATCCCCCTCTACTAAACCCCAGCCCCTGTTTAAAAAAAACAAAACAATATTAGCCAACAAGCAGGCTCCACTCACATTGCCGCTGCCAGTATGTGACTCCAGAGTCCAGCCTCTGGTATACCCCCAATGGCGCCGGCCAAAGCAAATTCTCCCGTTCCTTCTTGAAACCCTGTGAAGGTGGAGCACATTGACATCACGTCGGAATGTGACGTGGAGTTGCATGCTTCCGTGCACCTCCAGGCCCTCCACTGTCCAGCCACAGCCATCGCAACACTGACCAACACATATTCCCTGGCAGACACACACTGACAGACACACACACACACTGAAAGACACACACACTCACTGACAGAGACACACACACACTAACTGACAGACAAACACACTCACTGACAGACAAACACACATTCACTGACAGACATACACATTCACTGACAGACACACACACTAACTGACAGACACACACTCATTGACAGACACACACACACACACTGACAGACACACACACTGACAGACACACACAGTTACACATTCTTGCACACTGTGACGGACTGCCTGACACTCCAACCAAGTACCTCCGTCAATTGCTGCTTCCTAGTACTTGCAAGTACCATCAGCACTGCACCGGAGCACCATAACCACCGTAAACCCCACAAACTGCTGCAGCTTGGTTTGGGTCTCGTCGTCCTCCACCCACCCTGACCCAAGACCAGGATCCAGCTTCCAGTGGGTAGGCCTCTCTTAGTGCCAAGAGCTTAGTGATTATACTCAGGGGAGTATAGTGATTATAGCAATTCCCAGAGTGTAGTTCTCCAATCCCCCCAAACGTGAGCCAATCCTTCATGAAGGTGCAAGATCTTTATTGGTTCAGGTTGGCTTTTATACAATTCTCTAGGGAGAGGAACACCCCCTGGACCTGATGGGGCACAGGAACACAAAGGACACAAACCAATCAGAACAAACATACAGTCTGTGACACGCCTATGAACAGCACACAATCCTTCCCCTCTGCTTGGGAGATAATTGAGTAAAGTCCTGTAAGTAACTCAATTATCTCCAGGCAGAAAAAACACATTTTCACATAGTTCAGAGAGTTCACCAAAACATCATATCCCCCCCAAAATGTTACACCCCGGATAGCCCTGATCTGGGTGAACAGCATATTCAATCACCCAGATCAGAGCAGGGGTTCAAAAGTTTCATGGAAGTTTTTTTTTGACCAGCCGCATGCATGGCTTCATGCCCAAAACAGTTCCAGGGAATTAGGGCCAGCGGTTGGTCTCTCTCTATGGGGTACAAAAGTACTTACATGAATGGAGCCTTTTAAAGTGTATAGGGTAAGGTATATTGCAGGGCCCATAGTCACAGGGCAGGAGACAAGCAAACAGGCCCCTCCAAAAACCAGTGGCGAGGTCGCTTTCACCACATATCTCCCTCCCTAAGGGGAGACTAACCAGGTACCTAACCTCCTGTCAGTCGGTGCCTGAGTTAGTCAAGTAGCCCACCTATAAGCAAATACTGGTACTCCTGGATTCTCGGTTGCTCTTCGGCTGGTAGTTGGTGTTACTTGGTGGGCAGAGACCAGCGGTGCTCTGCCCCGCAGCCAGTGTTACAGCTGGGTAATTGAGCGGGGTGCCAATTCCAGGATTAAGGGTAAGGGGAGGGCAGAGGCCAACTATGCTCTGCTCTGTTGCCAGCGCTTCTGCTGGGGTGGCCTGCGGGTATTCAGGCCCTGGAAAAAGGTAAACGGGAGGGCAGAGGCCAACTGCACTCTGCCCTGGTGCCAGCGCTTCTGCTGGGGGGGACTAGCACATAGTCCTGCCCTGTAACAAGGAGGCAGGAAGTGCCAAGGCCAGCGGCGTTCTGCCCCGATGCCAGCTCTTGTGCTGGGATGGGGTCAGTGAATACCATCCCCCAGGACCCAGTTGAGGATTCCTGTGGGGTTGATTGGGGATTTGGACCAGCCGTCCAGCATCCCTGTAGGTCTGGTGCAGAGACCGTGGGTCCCATGTGCATCATTGAGGTCAGGAGTGCTGTCCCCCTGTGGTTGGGGAAGAGGATCAGTCTCCGGGTATCTCGGCTGCTGTTGGAGAGAAAGACTGGTTGTCTCCTCTCCCTGCAAGGCACACTGCCGCTGGGGAGAGAGACCGGTTGTCTCTTCTCCCTGAAACTCACCCTGCCGCTGGGGAGTGAGACCGGTTGTCTCCCCTCCCTGCAGTATACACTGCCGCCTGGGAAAGAGACCAGTTGTCTCCTCTCCCTGAAACTCACCCTGCCACTCGGGAGGAAGGACGACACCTTCCTGTAGGATGCACTGCTGCTGGGGCGAGAGACCGGTTGTCTCCTCTCCCTGTAGGATGCACGTTCACTGGGAAGAGAGACCAGTTGTCTCCTCTCCCTGTGAGATTCACTGCCACTGGGGAGAGAGACCAGTTGTCTTTTCTCCCTGTAAAATGCACTGTCGCTGAGGAGAGAGACCGGTTGCCTCCTCTCCCTGTAGGATGCACTGCCACTGGGGAGAGAGAACGGTTGTCTCTTCTCCCTGTAACTCCAGCTGCCACTAGGGATCTGGGCAGGCAGCCCAGCATCCCTGTAGGGCCGGTAGAGAGACATTGGTCCCATCTCCACCTGCCATTTGAGGTTCATCCCAGTGCCAGTCTATGAGGTCCCACATGACTTGGGAATAAGGACCACCTGCCTCCTCTCCCGGTAGCAGCTGGGGATCTGGGCCAGCTGCTCAGCATCCCTGTGGGGCCGGTGGAGAGAGTTCGGTCCCATCTCCACCTGCCTGTTGGGGTTCCTCACAGGACCAGTCTATGAGGTCCCCTACTTTGGGTACCTCTGGCTGCCTCTGTGGAGAGAGGCTAAACTCCTTTCGTTGGAGACTTCTTTTCCTCGCTTTAGCCAGCAGGAACTCTTGGTACCTCTCTGCTTGTCTTTTGACGGTTACCTGGTTCCAGATCACCTAGAAAGGTATTGATGGACACATCAGAGCCATACCAGGCCACTCTCTGCCTTACCTTGGCCAGAAAATCTTATATTATCTTATGCCATACTTGCCTGTTTCAAGTCAATGGACACCTCTGCTTCCAGGGGCGCTGCACGAATGCTAGCATTGCCCTCACTAAGATCAACACTTTACCGGTGTCTCCAGGATGCTTCTTCTTGCACTAGGACGCCAGCTCTTTCAAGAGCTTAGTGATTATACTCAGGGGAGTATAGTGATTATAGCAATCCCCAGAGTGTAGTTCTCCAATCTCTCCCAAACATGAGCCAAGACTTCATGAAGGTGCAAGATGATCTGATCTTTAATGGTTCAGGTAGGCTTTTATACAATTCTCCAGGGAGAGGAACAAAACAGTTCCAGGGAATTAGGGCCAGCGGTCGGTTTCTCTTTATGGAGTACATGAATGGAGCCTTTTTTTTCTTTATTTTTGAAGTGCATGGATTAACAATAGGCTTGTTCAGCCACAACAGCAGTCACAAGCAGTAATATACAGAGGAAACATAACGTGGCATATGACTATACAGCACAATTTTAGTTTTATAAAAGAAAATATAAGCAATGAGTGAGCAACGCTTGAGATGTGCTGACCATTTGTCTTTGTCACAATGGTAAATTCAGGAAGCATAAACACAGCTTTGATACAGTAGTAACGTGGAGATATCAGCATATTAATTAACGTTAAGTTGTAGGTTGTAGGCGAAGTTATATTTATAAGTTTTAGTCTTGCGTATCAGTTAAGGCTATAAGTACAGGTGTTAATACTGGTTGACTTACTGACTTGATAGAAAATAATAAAGTTTGGCTAGGTTAAGTGCAATTAAATGAAAATTAGGTTAAATGTTAAAGGTAAATATATAAGGAAAGTAATATACCACCAAACAAAGAGGGACATACCATGTCCACGTTAGCATTAAAAAATAAAGGGAAATAAACAATCTGGCATTTTTTGACCTAAGCGGTCTCTGGTTAAGTTATACACAGAAGAATCACCCGTAAGGATGCTGAGGTGGATACTCAGCGTTCATTTCTTATGGTTATGTCAGCGGGGAGATCAAGCTTAACATAAATAGTGATTAATATGCGAGTTTGTACCAGAGACTACGTTTGATGGTCGAAGTACTAGGTGATGAAAAAGTGTAATAAAATACGATAAACTAGGAAGACAACAGAACTCGGGTGTGAGCAGTCCAATACACCTTAACACCTAGATTATTCCTCCCCTTTCCCCTCCTCCTCTTCTCCTTTGATAACCTATCTTTTCCCTCCCTTAAAAGTTAGTTTTTGTTATGCTATGCATAGTACATATAATTCCATAGTGCCTCATTCGCGACCACAGGTCTATGGGCACAAACAGTGTCGTATCAGGAATAAAACAATGTATATTGTTATAATTTGGCAAGGTAATATCGAGTGTACTAAGAGGTGAGTGAACATTTCTGGCATCAGATTTAACTGGTTGGTGTGAACTACAAGCTCACTATGGTGTTCGAGAGAAAATAACAAGGAAAGGGGAAACAGTTGAAGTCATAGTGCTAAACATAATGATGGGGTGTAAACGATTGGGTTGTTCAGTAGTGTGGGTTTGGGTTGTGCATGGCCGTCCCTATGCATAATATGCCTGATGGTGGGGCAATGTCCCGGTAACTCACTCAGTCCAGAATTGACCTTCAGGTCGTGGCAGCGACGGTGGGTGATTCTTTCTGTCGTCTGGGGACAAATTCAGCAGCGCTAGCTGTTTCCCAACTTGGGGGGTTCCGAGGTCTGTCCTTAGGTGCTGGCTGGGTCAATGCGTTCGGGGGGAGGCCGAGCAGCCCCAGGATCATCGGTGCCTCTTGTATGCAGTGAATTTTATGCGTATCTTCGCCTTTTGTTACCATCAGGGTGTGAGCCGGGCCCCAGCGGTATGTGACATGTTTCTCACGCAGAAATGATGTCAATTGTTGCAGGGATCTCCTCCAGGCTAAAGTGGCTCCCGAGAGGTCCGCATAAAACATTAGGTTCATGCCTTCGAAGGGGTAGGTCTGTTGGAGCCTGGCCACGGCCAGAACTGCGGATCTGTCTCTTTGGGCTTGAAACTGCAGATCACATCATGGGTGGCTGCGTCTGGAGCTTTAGCGGGTTTTGGGATACGGAATATTTCATCCAGTATCACTGCTTTAGCTTGTTTTGGGTTTAGCATTATCGTGAGGAGCCGCCGCACGAAGTGGGGCAGTTCAGAGTCCGTCACAGTATCTGTTATTCCTCTGATCTTGAGATGCTTCAGCCGACGTTTATCTTCCAGCTCTGCAAACCGTAAGTCATTTTGTTTGGACAGGTTCCTCAGCGCCAGTATCTCTTGCTGTAGCTCCTTGATATGTGTGTCTTGGGCTTGCGTGGTGTGTTCCACAGCTCCAAGTCGTCCACTGAGGCCCTTCAGCGTGTCCCGAATTGAGGCCACATCCGCTGATATTTTTTTATGGTGGTCTGCCATTAATTCTCTGATGGCCTCCATGCTCACCGGGGTCGGGGTTGCGGCGGGTGGTGGGGGCTGTGTTCGATTCAGTGGGAGTTTGGGGTTGGCTTGTAGGGGCTCCCCTTCTGCTTCATCCGAAGACTCACTGTAGAAGTCTGAGCATCCGCCATGAAGGGACGCCATGTTAGGGAGAGAGGCTTCTCGGGCCTTCCGCCACAACTCGCCAATATGTGTGCCCGGGTGGAGTTTTTCGGGCTTTAACTTCTTTGTCTTTCGCCCCATCGCGTTTACCTAAACGTTTGGGTCCGTCTGGGTTGGATTTGACCCGATTGTGGGTGTTTTTAGTGGGTTTTGTCAGTTTCAGGCCTGGAGCTCAGCAATCCTGCGACCGTCCGCTTCAGTGGTTAGGCCACGCCCCTGAATGGAGCCTTTTAAAGTGAATTGGGTAAGGTATATTGCAGGGCCCATAGTCACAGGGTAGGAGGCAAGCAAATAGGCCCCTCCAAAAACCAGTGGCGAGGTCACTTTCACCACACACACACTCACAAATCAGTTTATTTATTGCTAACTGCTCCTTACGTTTGGGAGCTGATGTAGGGCCTCTCCCTGAGGTCCAGTGGGGTCTTCTTTCTGGAGATCTCCCTTCCTGCTCCTCACTGCTCCCGGCATCACTGCAGAGGGTGTGCGGGAGGGAGCAGTGAGGAGAAGGAAGAACAGACTGATCTCCCTCGCTGCCGTCAGCTTCCTCCTCCCCCGGCTGGGTACATTTTAGTAGAGTAGGCACCTGCAATGTGGGAAGAGCAGGTGTCTACTCTGCCTTAACAGTAAGCATGTACTCGCGGCTCGCTGAGTCGTAAATTTATTCAGTGTGGGCTGCGAGTTTGACATTCTTGCATTAAAGTTTATATTTCATATTTGTCCATTTTAAATATTGGAAGGTATATATTAATTATATGAACCTCTCTCTATATGATTTCTCTATGTTCACTGCAAGGGACAAAGGACAGAGCTTATCACAATGATAGGCAGACAGCTAACAGGGAGGCACCCAGCTGCAGGATAGTGAGGTGCAGGGCCGGACTGGGAAAAAAATTCAGCCCGGGCATTTTTTTATCACAGCGGCCCACTAAGAAGGGGGCGGGGCAGAGAGGGTGTGTTTTGTCATCACTCATGACAAACACGCCCCCTCTCAAAGTGAGCATGTTGGTTCAATGCTCTTCCAGGGCAGACCATGCACAGAGCTCTGCTGAAGAGCTCTAGCATGAGAAAAAAGCCCTGTATTTGCTCTGCACAGTGCAAGCAAATTTAATAACATGTGCACTGTGTTTCCTTGCAACTTGTCTCTGGTGTCTCTATAAATGGATACCAGGAGACAAAAGGGCCAGGAAAGAGTATTGTGCATGTGTTTGGAGCCTGTTTGTGGTATTATGTTTGTGCAGAGTGAGCTGGTCATGGTGTGGTATTGTGTAATAAGGTCTGTTTTAGTCGTGTTGTGTTTGTGGTGTAATGTAATGCATATGTGGCTAGGGGCTGTAGAGAATGTGTGTATAGGGGATGTAGCAAGTGTGTGCATACAGGCTATAGTGTGTGTGTGTGTATAGGTGATTTAGTGTTTGTAGAGAGTGTGTGTTCAGGGAATGTAGTATGTGTTTGCTTACAAGGAATCTAGTGTGCATATAGGGGATC